TCTCATTGATGGCTTCTGTGTTTAATCCCATTAGTTCAGACCCATACGATATTCTCAGTTATAAGCTTCTCCTAAATTCCAGTAACAAAATGGTTAACTTCGCTGTCTTCTTCGCCGAATTGAATGTTGATCTTCTTGTGAGAGATTTGGGTTTTGTTCTGTGTTGTGTAGGTTCGATTGCAGATGATCTTTATCCTCTATTCGCAAAGTATGGAAGGTTCGTGGATGGCTTTGTTCCCAGAGATCGAAGGTTAGTGAGAAACTAATGTCTCATGTCTTAGTATTTGAATCAGTTATTGTTTTTCTGGTTAGATGTGTGTTGTTTTGTCTTTTTATTAATGGTGATTCACTTTGCATTTGTTGGCCATAAGTAAAAAGGTGAAGCTCACAAAGCAGTGGAAAAGCTTGATGGTAAGGTATTATATCAGTTTATACACTTGGTGATTGAATTTAACGAAAGCTTCGGTCATTGTTTCATGAAGAGTTGTTTTAAGCTTTTAGTTTCAATTTTTGATTTTTACACTGAAATCAACTTCTGTTTTAAGAGCTTTTGTTATCGACTCATGTTTATGCTTTGATATTCGTTGATCCATAATGCAATTAAGTGTTATTTTAATCCTTAATCTTGATTTCAGTTACTGCTACACCTTCGCATGATTAGTGTTTTCAATGGAAAAATTGTAGACTTTAGGCATTGATCATCTGATTATCGATCGAGTTTTGGGTTCTTGGTGTAGCAGAAGCGAAGCATCAACTCACCCCAGAGATTAATGGGGTTGATAAGAAGACACTTTATGAAGCAACAGTGTGGGTGAATTCAAGGTTGAACTTCCAGGAGTTGCAGGAGTTCAAGCCTGTCGTTGACGATGTTCCTCTCACTACTCCTATCTTGGCCGCAAGTAAGGCTTGACTACAAACATTATATATATGTATGCAAGACGTTTATTAATTGAAAACTTTGATCAAGAAAACTTGATTTTCTTAAGGACAGATGAGCATGAATGTAGATGGAGGTAACTTCTATTATAACTTTTCCTTATCATTTTCTCTGCTTTTTCCTCTTGACATGTTCGTGATTGGTCCGAAACTGACGAGAAAAAAACAGACAAGAACCCACGATGTTGGTATCCAAAGTAAAAGAGCCTTAACAACGGAGCTCCAATCCCAAATCCCCATCTTCCGCCCCAGCATCCACGCCCGACGATCCAACATCGTAGTCAAATTCCAGGACCTTTACGGTTTCACAGTGGGAGGAAACGTTGACGACGTCAACGTCTTGAACGAAGTCAGAGAGAAAGTGAGGAGCCAAGGGAGAGTCTGTGGGCTCTCGAAGCCAGCAAAGGAGCTGACCAGTATCTCCAGCCGGATATTCTTTTGATCGGAGACGGTGGTATCGCGTTGAAGACGTCTCTGAAGATCTCTGCTTTGAGTAAGGCGATCACGTTGAAGAGGTTTGTTTAGGAAAGGGCTACCTCCTGTGCTGAGGCCTAAGGTTTGGTTCTCTCTCTGGTGCGGAGAAGAAGAAGTCTACTGTTCCGGAGAGTTATTTCAGTAATTTGACTATGTTGATGGGATGGTCACGCCTGCTACGCGGCAGATTGATCATGTGAGTTTGGTCTCTATCTAAACTCTGATCCTTCTAAAACAAATGTAGATGCTCATTATTTTCTTTTAACGTTTTATCTTATTGTAATGTGATTTTTCACTAGGTAGAGCCAAAATCAATATAAGATACTCAAACTTTATGTAGACAACAATTATTTTATTTTGAATTTTGGTAGATTATAAAACAATTAATTCCTTCAATTTTTTGAGGAAGCAACTATCCATTTGACTTATTATATGTAAACAATTATTAGTTTTAAGACATTGGTTTCAGATTTGGAGTTAATTAATAACTATTTTAAGAGATTTTACATAATAGATTTTTTAAAAAATTACCACAGTAAAAAATTATAGATAATAAAAAAATCAAATATATTTGTTTGGAAAATTGAATAAAATACAGAAATAAAAAAATAAATATAAAAACAAAACCAATATTTTTGTAATACAAAAGAGATATTTGAAGTTACTGTAACTAAATAAATGTAGAATGTATTTTAAATATTAATGTCAAAAATTCTAAAAAAAATACTATAAACATAGATCCACACCTGTGTAAAAATAAAATATAATTATATAATCGAATAAGAAACATACGATATAAAATAATGTAAGAGAATGAATAAAATTAGCTAACTTCACATTAAAAAAATAAATCAACAATTCTACACCATAGAAATAAAAACAGAATAAAACTTCAAAAAATTATCTTTTTTACCGTAAGAAAAAAATTTAATTAATTATAATAAGAATGAAATTGAATAAAGAATAACAATCGATAAAATAATGATTCATACTAATATAAAACAAAACATTTAAAAAAATATCAAACAAAAAAAAATTAATCTCACTATTAACATTATTTTCAAATTATCATCTCGCCCGTAGGGCGGGCCGGTCCTAGATGGAGGTAACTTCTATGAGATGATCCAGCATGAACATGGAGTTCATAGAAGGAGGATCTCTAACTCATTTCTTTCAAATTTTAAGTATATATATATAAGTCTCTGCAACTTTATCGTAAACTTTCTTCATTGATTTGGAACAGGAAAATCCAATGATGAAGATAGCAAAAGATGATGAATATTTTGGTTTTTTAAGGACAGATGAGCATGAATGTAAACGGAGGGAGCTTTTAGAGATGATCCAGCTTGGAGTTCATAGAAGGAGGATCTCTAAAGGTATCTCCTTTCTTTCAAATTTTTACTCAAAATTGGTATTGTCAAGGTAACTGATCTCTTTCTTTTGCTTAATGGAGATCTGGGTTTAGCTTCAATTTAACTTCCTCTTATAAATCTCACTCCCTATGGTTCACATTTGTATCTTGGCGGCAGAAGCTCAATAAGCATTTAAAAAGGAATCTCTTTCTAGAGCAGAGAGTGAATTTAGGGGGGGGGGGAAATAGAACAAATACTTCATGGCAACAAGGTTAATATTTTCCCTCACTATCATATCTCCAAGTTCTTTTCTTTCCTATTAAACTATTTTAGACATTAATATGCCTACTACAAGTTCTTTTGTTCTTTACTTTGTTTTTTCTTACTATCATAACTCTGGATTCCTTTTCTCACTTCACAAAATTCAATGTGAATGTTTATTTATTACTCCAAAAGAACAAATGTATGTTTCTTTCTTTCTTAAAGGAGCAACTTTGAAGGTGCTTCCTCTGTTTTCACAACATTGGCTAACTCAGAGAGTTTTCTTCACACTCAATGGCATGTCGTTAAGTAGGCTTACGTATCTTTATTTTGGTTCAAGCGTTGCACCTACATGACCTCACTTCTCGACATGCTACCCCTAGACACTAAAGTAATTTCGAGGAAATCTTTAATAACTCTCCTGAAAAGGCCAAGAGTAGAGAAGCTGCACATTAGCTTTTTTTTTTTCAGTCTCAAGAATGGTGTCTTTTACGGGTATCTTGACTTGATTTTTCTTTGGGATGCATTTTTTTTTCTTGGTAAATTAGCTGCATATCTACGTTAATTGTTTCAGTTTCTTGGTAAATTGGTCTATCGTCGCTGCATATTTCCTACTTAATCAAAAAGGAGATTTGTTTGACGCTAATCAATCATACATTTATTTTCATAATCAAGAATTATTTGCTTCTACTACGAATGATGGCTCGAAGTCTTCTGAAACACTTAGAAAGTTCCTAACTTTCAGAGTTTGGCGTATACAAGCATAAGATTTTTGGAAGTGCCACGATGACTTAGCTTTTTCCAATCAGTAAGTATATTTTCTTTATCAAATTTGAAAGTCAAAGACTTAGATTAGTCATTAGCCAAAAATAAGATCAATCATTAGTCGTATTCCTTGGCAGTCATTATAAATGATATAAAAAAGTAAGAAGAATAAGGAGCAGTTAAAGGGAAGAACACTTCATGAATGGAGCAGGCCATAATGTCTCCTCTATTTTTTTTAAGAAAAAAAAATCTATATTTGGCTTACACCTTTAGAGCCTTCAGGTTAATAAGTTTTCCAGCCAGCTCATAACTTAAAACTTACAACTGTGTTCACTAGGTTTTATTCATCCACACCAAAAAAATTGTGAGCATCAAAACGAGTGAAAAGATCCGATGAGGGCAAGTACCAATCAGATAACTGATTAAGACTTCTGGAAATGCGATATTTAAAACTATATATTTAAATGCATAAGATTCAATGTCAAAGTTATGAATTCAATGGTTTTGAAACTAAGATAAAATTATGATTAGTTGTACATTTAAAAAAGTCTTGCACCAAAACTTATATAATTAAGATAAATGAATATTTAGATTGTGAGTCTAAATTGTTGGGATGTAGATGCAAAAAATTTGTTGTAAGAATTTAGTTGGTAGATTTTAGGTTTAAGTAATGTAGTTGTAAGTTTTTAATGTAGAAAGATATGACAATTTTTAAACCAGTTTTTGAAGAAAAAATATTTTAAAAGGATTGTGTATTTAAAGATGAGGGTCAATTAAAAGGATTGTGTATTTAAGGGTGACAAAAAAAAGGATTGCGTATTTAAATGTGACAAAAAAAATAATTGGAAACAAAATTTATAAAAGAAACAAATGAAATGAAACATTTTTTCAATCAACCAATCAAACACATAATTAAAATTAAATCATCTTTTTCCATTTTCCTCATCACCTTATATATAATTTCCAATAGCAAAAATATCAGATATTTGTATACTAGATTATTTAAAATTTGTAAGACAGAAAAATAAATAACTGAAAATAATTTTATAATTTTCTACCTACTTATATTTTTATAATATATTATAATAATTATATATCAAAATAAACATATGCACAAAACATATAATAAAAATTAAAATTTAAACAAATAACCCGGGCGTAGCCCGGGCCGGCCCTAGTTTAATATACATATACGTTGGGCTCTTCGACAATCACAGTTATTCGGCCCATGGGTCATTATATTATTATTAATCATCAGCGTGGCCCATAGCCCATTTATATTAATTACTTAAATATCAGCCCATTTTTAATAAATAATATAAGTAAATCAAATAGAAAAGCAAAGAGAGAAAAAATCTCATAACACAAGCAAAAGATTGAATTTCAATGAAACAATGGCAGTATGTCTTTCTCCCGGAAAGTATCACTCAAAAAATAATAACAATAACACCACGCAAAAGAATATTATATCCAGAGACTGCATAGATGATTTGCTGAAAAGCCTCTAGCTCAGTAAGAGGATTCAGTCTTGGTCTTGTACCTGTAGAGGACTCTCTTCTTCTTCTTGCTGGAGACATTGTCAACGGTAAGAACAATCTTGCCAGACTCACTGTTCTTGAAACTGTTCCTCACGGGTCCTTCATTTGATCCAATCTTCTTCACCTTTTGGACAATAATGGTGTAAGCTCCTTCATCTGCTGGCACAAACTCTTCCTTGTAGTTCACTTCCCATCCCAAAACAGCAACGTCCCAAACCAATGTTCCTTCAGTCTATGAAACAAAACAGAAGGGACCCCAACTGCATTAGTGGATCGTTCTCTTACAAATCATGTAAAAAGAAAGAGGTGTTTTTGGTTGTGAATTCTTCTTACCTCAGGAGCTGGGATCTCGATGGTTTCAGATAATCCAGGCTTAACAACAACTTCAGAAACAGCTTCATTAGAGAATTCAGTATCATCATCTCTTTTGAAACCACCGTACTGAACAGGGATCTCCTCTGCTGGAATGTACCTTCAACAACAATGCATATATGTTATGATCAAAATTTGTGAAGACATTCAGAGCATAGTGGGGGTTTTAGTACTGGGTTGCTGCTTACTTGAGAAGAGTCTCAGTGACGTTAGCTGGACGAGTCACAACAAACTTGCTCTTGGTTCTTTGTGTTAAGAATGGAGACAGGAGAGTGCTGCCGGCGTAGAACCAGAAGGGAACATTGATGAATACCTGTAGAACATAAAAAACAATTACAGAAGTCAGGAGACTGAATCAATGAGTTCCAAAATTTGAGACAATGAATGTAGATGATGATAACTCACGTTTCTGGAAACAAGTTCCGGGTAGTTGTCCTGCAAAGCTACTATAGCGTTCTTGATTGCAACCCATAGCTCTTTCTTCAACAATCCAGGGCAGTTTTTGAGATCATGGATCTGAAGAAGAGAAGTAACACCTCCTGGTTTCAGATTAAGCTTCTGGATTCCCTTCTCCATCAGCTGAAACCTCCATCTCAAAAGATTCTCTCTGCTTTGCTCTGATCCAAAGGTCGTCTGGTAAAGCTCCTCGTTACCGAAAACGCTGTACACATTGTAAAAAACCGGGCGTGATTCACGGTCCAAGCCGTTCATGTAAGCTGCAGAGGCAAGATCCTCCCCAAAATCTTCTCCAAGGACTGAATCAATCTTCTGTTCCTTCCTCCATTTGAGGGTTTTCTTGAGCATCTCAAAGGCTTCATTGACTTTGAAGTCTCTTGCTCTCAAGAACTTCAAGAGGATTACATCGGTGCCTTCAGCTCCCTTGCTTGGAAGCAATGGCACTCCCCACAGCTCAATATCGTTATCCACAATCTCATCTTCTTCCTCCTGCTCAACAGTCTCAGCTTTGGCAACAACAGCTTCGGCTTTCTTCTCTTCTTCTACCTTCACAGCTTTCACTTCTTCCTTACTGTCGACCACATCAGCCTCAGTCTTCACCTCTTCTTTGGGGCTTTCCTTTTCGACAGCATCATCAACTGTCTCAGCTTTGGCTTCTTCGGTTACAACAGCCTCAGCAGTCTCAGTTTTCACTTCTTCTTTGTTGCTTTCCGCAGCAACAACAGCATCGGTAGTTTCAGCTTTAGCCTCGTCCGTAACAACAGCCTCACTCTTCTTCTCTTCTTCAGCCTTCTCCTCTACTTCCTTCTTCTCTTCTTCAGCCTTCTCCTCAACTTCCTTCTTCTTCTCCACCACCTTCACAGCAGTCTCTTTCTTCTTCTTGAAGAGAGTGTTCTCAACAATGGCTTCCTCAAGCTTTGTCTTCAAATCGCTCAGTGCCTTCTTCTCAGACTCCTTCAAATCAGAGAAGAAATCGCTCTCTTCTTTAAAAGAAGAACTCTTCTCCACACCCTTAGACTTGCTCTCATCTTCTTCAACAGCTTTAACTTCTTCCTCCACAACAGCTTTCACTGTTGTCTCCACCTCTACTGGAGCAACAGCAGAGGCAATAACAACCTCTGACTCCACCTGTTTCTCCTCAACCTTAACTTCAGCAGTCATATTTTATCTTTCGCCTGTAATCAAGATTCAAACAAATCTTTTAGTCAATAAGACATAAACATATCTTTCTAAAAATCCTAATTCTTGTACTTAAATAGGAAACCCCAAAATCTAATTCCCCGTCTTGATTAGTTTGAGATCTCAAATCAAAGCATGAATCTTGCTAATAAACCCTAATCAAAGACTCGAACAAACACTATATGAGAAAACCCTAGCTCAAATCCTGTACTCTGTTTCTCGATATATCAAATCGAGAATATAAGAGAGGCAAAGAGAATTACAATTTACCTTGTAAATAAGATTATGAGAGTTTATAGGAATCTTCTGAATCTCTAAACTCGACTTCGTCTGGTTATGTAGTTCTCTAGGGTTTTGAGTTGAGAAGATGAGGAAGAGATTGAGCTTTATGAAGAGAAGAAAAGCCCTAGTATTGGGCTGGACCCCACCGACTTTCACCAACGGTCACATGATTGGGTCCACCTGTACAAAAAGAAACAAGAAGAACCACAGCCGTTGGATCGTGCCTTCAATCTCTCTCATCCATCCAATGATCCAAATTTGCCAGCCTGGCAACTAGAAACAAAAGTTTAACAGAGATATCCGGTGGATCCTACGCTCTCTTCGCATGTTCCAACGGTCGTCTTTGCTGACTTGGTCATCCAACGAGAAAACGACACGTATACTGTTCGACAGAGTATGTTCGGCGCAACGGACGGATATCCAACCCAAGTCTCTTGTTTTTATTCTTGTTTAATACTAGTTTTACAGTTTGGAGTTAGGCCAATATTCTAAATTAAGAATAAGATTAGAAAGTACCATATGCCTAAATGGTATCCGAGAATCTCTTCGTTGTAAGTTTGTAACGGTTCCTATACTTTTCCCCCTCTAATATTTTTAAAAACTGAATCCTTACAATAACGTTTCATCATTACATAGTATAATAAACTAATCAGACTTGAAAATACGTCTCCTATATTGGTATGTATGTAGATACACTAATATGCCAACAATGCAGATAAAAGAGTACATCATTTATTATATCTGTAAATGTAAATCAGATGGTTTTCCAAATTACAAGCTAGGTGATTGGATTATTTTGATCTGTGAAGTTAGTTGTTAATAAAAGTTAATGTGTGGATTTATCAAATATATCAATCATCAGTAAACAATTACCAACATGGTGTTTGTGATATTTAACAAAATTCAACGTAAAGTAAGAATTCAAGTAGTGGGACAAAAGCTAATTGACACTAATTTTTCTCTTTTGACAAAAAAACTAATTATAGTTATTTATTAGACAGAGATTAATAGTCGAATATTTACATTTAAGTCCACAAATCAGAAGATGTCAATAAGTTGATCATATATCTTTCACGCGAATAAAATATGTATGCTTCTCATCTATATTAATGACCCTTTGACCTCTCAATGATTATATGATGACATTTATAGTGCATCGCCGCAACTAATCAGTGGAAATGATTGAAGCAAATTGGCAAAGAGTTGCATTATGGTAACACAGAAGTTGTTAGAAGTCAATCGTTAGTTACAGCTAGTTCACCCCGCCAAATCAGCCGCAACAAAAGGAGGAGACAGAGACAGAGAGAAACAGAACAAACTACACAAAGAGACAGAGCACAAAAGATCATCAGATCGAGCTGTACAATAATCAAATCTATAGTCACGTTTTTTCTTTGTTTTGGAACAGACCCAGGCCACCAGACAGAAGAAGAGAGAACACGGAAACCATCCCCACACTACACATAGACAGTCTGTTAATTATTTACTAAAGCTAAGTAAAGAATCTCACAAAAAGATCTTTTTGCCTCACTAAAGGAATAAAAATTAGCAGAAAAATGTTAGTCGATACGTCTATGTCCAATGTGTTTAGTTGTCTGTCAACTCACCACATTGGTGTTGGAGTTATCTTGAACAATACTTGAGATACAAGTTAATTAAATCCTAGTCGGTTTGAGATCTTGAAGGATAAAGATCAATATGTTGAGTTTATCTACTAGGATTAGGATTTATGTTTATTTATATATACTATGTCGTGTGTAGACATAGATTGATTATTCTTGGTGATTTGTGAACTAAAGGCTTTGAGGTATTTTCTTGAAGCTTTGATTGATTGAATAAGAGAAGGACTTCTTATTAACTCTGTGATTCAATATTTGGTATCAGAACTTACAGAAACGTTTTGAAGAAAGCTTACGACAACCATGAGCGACGTCAAGGAAGAATCAGTGACAATCAAAGATGTTGGACAAACCACCATCAAGTTCCCAATGTTAACCTGTTCGAACTACACCGTTTGGGCCATTAGGATGAAGATAGCACTCAAGGCCAACGAGGTATGGGAGGTGATAGATCCCGGAGCTAAAGACATAAAGAAAAATAATACTGCCATTGCGTTGTTGTTCCAATCCATCCCAGAAGCCTTGATCTTACAACTCGGAGACTTAGATACAGCCACGGCGGTTTGGGATGCAATACAAGCGAGGCATGTTGGAGCAGATAGGGTGAAAGAAGCGAGGCTACAAACTCTAATGATAGAGTTTGATAGACTAAAGATGAAGGATGAGGATACTATTGATAACTTTGCTGGGAAACTAGCTGAGATTGCTGCAAAATCAGCAGCACTGGGTGAGATAATAGATGAGACTAAAGTTGTGAAGAAGTTTCTGAAAAGTCTACCATGGAAGAAATATGTTCATATTGTTGCAAGTCTTGAGCAAGTTCTTGATCTAAGTACAACTAGTTTCGAAGACATAGTTGGTAGATTGAAAGCTTATGAAGAGAGGATCAACATAGAGACACATGAGGTTGCTGATGATCAAGGGAAGCTGATATATGGTGAGGTAAACCAAGAAGGTTATGGAGGAAACTACACTGGAACACGAGGTCGAGGTCGTGGGGGCCGTTCTAACTGGAGAGGACGAGGTCGTGGCCGTATTGGCTCCTTTCAAACTCAAAAGGAAGCTTACAAACAACGTCAAAACGGAGATATGTCCCACATCACTTGTTTCCGTTGTGACAAACAAGGCCATTATGCCTCTGATTGTCCAGAAAAACAACTCAAACTTCAAGAGACAGCAGAGAGAAAGGATGATGAAACCCAAGAAGCTGATGACTTAATGATGCACGAAGTAGGCTATTTGAATGAGAGAAAGGTGAATCCTATGGTGTTTGAAACTGATCGAGATAAAGACAACACATGGTATCTTGATAATGGAGCCTCTAATCACATGTGTGGGAATAAGATGTTTTTTCGTGAGTCTTGATGAAACTATTGAGGGAAAAGTAAGGTTTGGAGACGACTCAAGGATCGACATAAGAGGTAAAGGCTGCATTAGATTCTTGTTTTCAGAAGGAGAAAATAAACTATTGAACAACGTCTACTACATTCCCGGATTGAAGTCAAATATCATAAGCTTAGGACAAGCTACTGAAGGAGGATGTGAAGTTCGCTTGAAGAATAACAAACTAACAATGCTTGACAGGAATGGAGAACTTATGATTCAAACCACACGGTCTCCAAACCGACTCTACAAAGTTGTTCTGCAAGTAGATCGTGTGCTCTGTCTTGGACTAACCTCAGAGTCTGAGTCCACAATATGGCATCAACGACTCGGACACGTGAATGTTGCTACTTTGAAGCTAATGATAAGGAAGGATCTTGTTAGTGGTATACCAGACGTTGTGATCAGAAGAGAGACTTGTGTATCTTGCTTATTGGGAAAGCAATCAAGACAACCTTTCCCACAGGCAACAACTTTTCGAGCCTCTACCCCACTTGAGCTATTCCACGGTGACTTATGCGGACCAATCTCACCACCAACACCTGGTCAGAAGAGATATGTTTTTGTGTTGATAGATGATCATACACGATACATGTGGACAATATTGCTCAAGGAGAAAAGTGAAGCATATGAGAAGTTCAAAGATTTTCAGACACTTGATGAACAAGAAACTCAGAGTAAAATCAGGATGTTTCGAACAGATAGAGGAGGAGAGTTCATGTCGTATGAATTTCAGGCATACTGTGATAAGATGGGCATTAAACGACACCTCACTGCACCATACTCTCCTCAACAGAATGGAGTAGTGGAACGAAGGAATCGCACACTTATGGAGATGACTAGGAGTATCTTAAAACATATGCATGTACCCAATGAGTTCTGGGGTGAGGCTACAAGACACTCCACGTATTTGATCAATAGACTTGCAACACGATCCTTAGAGGGAAAGACACCTTATGAGATGTTACGGTCAAGAAAGCTAAACGTGAAGCACTTGAAGGTATTTGGATGTATTTGTTTTGTAAGGACATAGACACTAGGGAGGAAGAAGCTTGATGACAGAACAAGAATTTTAGTGCACTTGGGAACTGAACATGGTTCAAAGGCATACCGACTAGTTGATCCAATAACCAAACGCATAACAGTGAGTCGCGATGTGATCTTCAAGGAACAGGAATGATGGAAGTGGAATAGTATACCAGAAACAGAGTACTCAAAACCAGAGGAACTCACTGTTGAGCTAAGAACAACAATCAATGCCCCTGAAGACGAAGAAGACACTTTGGAGGAAGTAGTAAACGAGGACACAACTGAGAATGAGGGTAATGAGGACGAAGAATATACAACGGAAGAATCTGGTACTGTGCAATCACCAAGAAGATCACAACGAGTAAGCACAAAACCATCTTACCTTGAAGACTATATACTACTGGCTGATATTGAGAGTGAACGTTTGTTGATGACTGTGAATGACGAACCTTGGAGTTTTACTGAGGCTAAGAAGTTGAAGGTATGGGTTGATGCTTGCAAGGATGAACTGGCTTCCATCGAGAAGAATAATACTTGGGAGTTGTGTGAGTTACCAGTTAGTGTGAAACCAATTGGATTGAAGTGGGTGTTTAAGGTGAAGCGTAATGCGGATGGGAGTATAAGCAAGTTTAAGGCTCGATTAGTGGCTAAGGGTTATGTCCAGAAGCATGGAGTAGACTACGATGAGGTCTTTGCACCAGTGGCTAGAATAGAGACAATCCGTTTGATCATTGCACTAGCAGCTAGTAAAGGTTGGGAGGTTCACCATCTTGACGTTAAAACAGCATTCCTTCACGGAGAGCTAAAGGAAGAGGTGTTTGTAGTTCAACCAGAAGGTTTTGTTGTGAAAGGTCAAGAAGATAAAGTGTACAAGCTAAGAAAGGCACTTTATGGTCTGCGTCAGGCGCCAAGGGCTTGGAACTTAAAGTTAAGCACTATCTTACAAGGTTTGGGTTTTGTTCGATGCTCAAAAGAACCGTCTCTGTATCGTAAAGAAGAGAACAACAAGCTTCTTGTTGTGGTTGTATACGTAGATGAT